AACACAATCTTAGATGTTATTTACTATTATACTTCCTTTCTTGCCGCAATTATTAGGGTTGCCGTAATTTTTGCAGATGGCATCAAAGTTTGCGATTTTTTTACGGCCCTCGAAACCGAATAGTACCAAATATTGTTGCGGGTTCCTTTTTTTTTTTTTTTTTAAGCCAAAAGAGCGTTAGCCCAGAAGGCCTATTCATTTCATTGCCGTTTCACTAAAAGTCGGTTCACTTTTAAAATAATGCCCCAATTTATCGCCCTGTGCTATATTTAAAGAAATTAAATAATGAAGAATCAGCATAAACGTATTATGTTTCTCGCATTGTGATAAAACAACGGTATCTAGTGCCACCCAATTCTGAATAACGAATTTCTTCAACATCCACTTCATGACTTCGATACATCTTCCAAGCCCGAAATTCTTCACATTCAAGCTTAAAAGCTAGCAAACGTTTACTGCAGCTCTTGCGGAATGAAGAATCAGCTTACTGTTCTTAGGAACTAGTACATATATATTTTTGGAAAGAATTAGGCTAATTATACATTTTGCCATCGACTACGAAAATTGATTTCCACCTATCGACAAATTTGGCAAATATTCCACAAAATTACTGATTCGCGTTCTGAAGATACTCGTTTTTGTGTTTTTGACTTTTCATTTTTTTATGAAGTTGTTCTGCAGAGTAAAATTCTGCACAGTTTTTAATCTGGATTGGAATGGATTCAATCGGATGTTGATCTAGAAACGATTTTAAGTCTACTGCAAAATTCTATTGGAGTTAGTACGAACACAACGCTTATGACAGCGCAATATCTCTTCGCCCATAGATGGATAACTTAGTATTAACTTAATATTATTTTAGAGCACCATCTCTCATATAAAAAGAGAGTCTTTTCGTTATGTTGCGCGTAGCTAATAGACCCAAGGGCTAGGAATTGGTATATAAGTGCATCTAGACAAACGACAGTGCATCTCTAAGCGATTTTTTTTTTTTTTTTTTTCCAAATTCGATCGAATCAGTTTTTTTTTTTTTTTTTTTTGTTTTTTCTGTTTGGTTGGTTCGTTTTATCGCATCATTTGAAAGTTTATTCTTTTAGAAATGTGCTTGGCAAAACAGTTACATTCAATGTATACCGGATGCTTGGCTGTGGAACTCCGCACTGTGGCCACTTGGAAATATGAGGGCGATAACTCGTGCAGTGATTAGATTTAATATTTCTCTTTTTGGGAACGGTGTTTGTTGAGAGAGGCAACGGGACCAGGAAGTGGGTATTTATACTATAATTAATATTTGTACTAAGGGATATTGCTTATTTCATTGCAATTTTGTTATATGTAATACATGTTTTAAAATTTGGTGTGTGTGTGTGTTTAATGAAGTTGTTCTGAAGAATAAAATTCTGCGCAGTTTTTAAATTTAACGTTTGGTGTTCCCTTCAGGCATTTTTCCGGTACATTTAAAAGCCAGACGAAGGCTGGCCACGTAGCGGCTAGTAAATAATAAAACAATGCGTTAGAAAGTATATACCATATACAGATACAACAATACTATATCGCAGTGGCATACTTTTTTTTATTTATTTGTTAATATAATTTTTTGTTTTTCCAGTGTGCATTTTCGAAAGATCTAACTTCCGCTTTGCATCTTCTGAACTGGATTCTCAAACTTTCCTATTCTTAACACACCCTAGTAAAACTCCGGTTGCATTTGCTGTCTCCTATAAAAATAGTTGCCCTCCTTCAAAGTATATTTATCCCAACAAAATACACTGCTGACCACCCAAATTGCAACACCCAAAAAGATAAGAGATATCACAACAAAATTTATTTAGTATATAACACGTTGACCAAGTATGAAACGATTAAATTTATAGACTTCTGTAAAGTGTGGTTCCTTCCAGAATCAGTAGCCAGAGTAGCCGCCATTGTTGGAGATCACCGTGCCACACGCCCGGCATGATCAAAGAGACTGTGCATGTGTTCGGGGGGTACAAGAGACCAATAGCTTCCCACAACGTTGGCCAAAGTTGATTGGTTGTGGCCAGCTTGAGGTTTAACTGTGTCAATCGTTCAGCAAACCATGGACCTGGTGCTGGTATGTTTTCTATCGGCGAAAGATCCGGGAGCGAGCCGGCCAGGACGCATTCAATCTAGCGATTGACGAAGAATCCTTGGACATGCGTGCACGTTGTGGCCGCGGCATTATCCTGTTGAAAATATGGTGTGGAAGGCAGAAAAGGACAACTGGCTCCAAACACTCCGGAGATGTAGCGCTGGAGGTTTAAAGTACCGGCAAATGTGTACTAGAGGAGTGCGTGAGAGTGATATCCAATACCGCCCAGACCATAATACCCGGTAAAGGACCAGTTGGGCGGTGCATAACGCAGCTATTAGCCACTCCACGGTGTATCAGACTCGAACCAACTATCGTGGTGTGCAGACAGAAAGCGGACTAGTCAGTAAGACAATTTCATCCATTCTGCCGTCCACATCTCTTTCATTCGCCACCATGGCGGCCGGAGACGTTTGTGCTATGCGTCAAGGGTAGACGAGAATGGACGTCTTGCGAAGAGACAACTCTGCTGGTACAAACGGAGTCGAATTGTACGCGCAGACAATGGAGGATGAGTTACAGACTGAATGTGCTTGTTGCTGTGGTGGTGATGTGGACTGAGCGATCCGTCCTGCCATACGCACAAGTTCTGTCATCACGTGAAGGGGTGCACTGAGGTGGAGGCGATCGAACCACGTCGGTCGCGTTACCCTCCGGCATCCAACGGTCACATATTCACATTAAAGTTGTTTGGTTTCGCCCAACACGGCTACCGCATTTCCTGAAAGATAACCAAACCCTCGGTAGGCCACTATTTTTTCTTGTAGAACTCGGCACGTGATCAAACGATGATCTTGTTTACTAATTAATTGATCTTTTTTTTTTTTTTTTTTTTTTGAAAAAAGCACAAGAAAAACACATGCAAAACTTGAAATCATCAACAAAAACTCCAAGCCTCTTACATAGCGATTGAAACTGCGCCACAGGCGCGCATGATGGCGTCTGGGCTGTGAAATTCTAATCATTTGCATATCTCACATACGCTAATTAATAGTTGTAATTAAGGTTATTTGCATGCTTCCTTCATTTACGGTGGCCAGCAGTGTATATCAAAAATCTTATTCTTCGCTTAAGGAGACGGTGACCCTACTACTACTACCCTACTATCACCCTACATTTTGATATATCTCGGAAACTTCTTTCTCGTATTTTATCCGGACCAAATTTTAAATTATACCGGTTCCACAGAACTCGGATACTTGCACCGTCCGTACAACCGGGTCTGAACCCCTAAATGCCTCCGTATTTGGCGGGATGTGGTCATCAGACTGAATGCCTACAAAGAGCTTAGAAAGTAACGATACACCGCCGCCGCGTCCTACACTTACGGGCGACGGATCAAAAATTTGCTCTCCATCTCACGGCTGAACGGATCAACGTGGGTCACCACTTTCCGCGAACCGAGACCACCATGAGGTGTGGTACTTTTAAGCCTGGCCGCTCTACTGGTCGTTACTGCGCCCTCGCCAGTACTACACGGGCAGTCCACCGACAGAAGGTTTGACATGGAATACCTGCGTCCGCTGCGGACTGGCCGCAGCATTGCCGCTACCAATACCATGGTCTTATACGGATTTCGGGTCAAGAGGTAAAGCCACGCCCGCTACCATTGGCACCTGCGCGGTGGCCTATAGCCTTCCCTCCTCGGTCAAACCGTACGACGGCTACCTCAGGGTTTCGGAACCTCCAAAGCTCCCAATGCTTTTAACCAGAGTACTCTGTAGGAATAGAATCCAGCAGTGCACCCAGGGGGGTTATCAGGACTGTTTCTCTATCTGCTGGCGAACAGAGGCCTGACTAGACCGTGGTTTCAATAAAAATGTGTCCTGTGAGTGTAGCAAGACACAAGATAAGAGGTTAAATTACCATTACTTTCACGAATTACAGGCGTCCCGACTTCGGGATAGAAAGAGGTCTGAACTTAAAAATATAAGATACAATAACTTAAAATTTAATAAGAGAACTTTAATATTTTCACAGAGACTAACAACGATGGCCTTTTAAATTATTACGTATGTAGTACGCAAACTGCGGAAACTACAATACGTCTTTAGCTTTCGAGAGGACTAAAACCTCTGGCCTTAAAGCGGACAGTAAACTGATGGCAAGCTCGCGTGAAGTCTAGTGACAAGATGGCTCACTCTCTCCCCTACTAACTCTGCCCTTGGCAAAAAGCCACAGCTTAAATACTTAAACGTTAGCAAGTACAATTGGCATAAACATATTCACATGTTTATTCTGGCCGGAAGTGGAAAATAACAGAGGATAGTAAAGTTTTAAAACAAAATAAACATTAGTCAAACTTAAGATCCTTACGTCTGACCTTCAACAGTCCTGTTCTTGGAAAAAAAGGAAACATTTGTAAAAATCATTAGGGCCAGGCACACACTCGCACCAGGAAACAGTTAAAATATTGCAGGCTATCGCATAAATATCGTACCGGTGAGATATTTCACTGTTTTTGATACTGATGCGATATTTTACTATTAAGAAAGAGACCCACGTTCGACTTCCCAAGATCATTTATCACCTTCAAGGACACTGGGCCTCCTGGCACTACATTTCTCATGTGTGCTAGTGTATGGCACCCCAAGCAACTAGCAGCATCAAAGAGAAAGCGAGCTAATGCCCGGAACCAACACATATCCAAATTAAAAATGAAATATTTAAGTGAAATTGGTTTCAAAATTTCTGCCACTTCCAATAAGAATACTTCTTGCCTTCGCAATTTTTCAAGGCTTTAAGTGCTTTCGTTTGTAAATATCATAATACTGACGGCACAAGAAAATCCCTATTTTATATGTTATTGGATGTATATTTTGTAAATGTCAAATCGCAATTATAATCTAGATAGTGAAATATTGACTTTATATTCTGCTTCCAACAGGTCCCCAGGACAGCCATGTACCAGAGAGATCTCTTTACCTTTTGGTTTTGTGAGTCGCTGCAAACAGAAGTTCATCAAGAAGAAACTTCTAGCATTAGACTCAGATGGTCAAGGCACATCCGCAGAGAACTTTTTCATTCCCTCATGCTGTGTCTGCCACGTGACTAGGACAACCCAAAGACGATGACAACGACTGCGACATTACCAATACGACTGTGATATAAAAGTCAAAAAAAAGAAGATCGAATTAACTGTTTTATGAACTGTAGATTGTTTTTTATAGATCTGTTTTTTATTCGTGAAGAACTTTTGTTCAATTCATCCAATAAGAAAAGACTTTAAGCAGGATGAAGAACAGATATTTTTATAATGGATTGTAGAATATATATTTGTGTAGAAATGATGAAATAAACTTGTGTTGTCCTTGTATATTAATTACTTCGTATTCTGACAGAAAATTTTTATGTAAAACAATTCAAGACAAGGAAGAAAACTATGTACCGAAAATGAAATCTTCATAATAATATTGTTACGTTTTTCTTTCTTCACGTTCGTACGGGGTTCGTGTGGATTTGGAGTGAATAACGACGACACTTGATGAAGTATCGAAACACACTTTATTTATCAATATTAATCAGGCCAGCTCCAAAACTCTTTTACAGTCGTCGAAGATCTACTATAAACACGCGACACGGCCTCCACATTGTCATGCAATAACGGTGGAGCCAGCTTCATTGCAAAGCACCAGAGTACTCTCGAGACTCTCCACGCTACAACTCGCGATGCATCGAAGACCACAGAGAAAAGCTCCCGATCTTCGTTCAATCGTTTCCGGAGCTTAACCACCACTCTCGACGATGCACTAACCGATACACTAGAGACTCTTCGAACTCGACGACAAACTCGGCGCTAGACTTCGAGACATTCGCTCAATGACTGACTATCAGCTTGAAGAGAGGTACAACTCCCTAACTGCGGACCAGCAGGGTTTATATAGCTTTCGGCTTGTGTTCGAGAACATTCGGGGCTATACCGGTAAGAATTCTTTCCAGAAGGTTCTCCATCCGTCCATGGCATATCGCCAATTTTGTCGCAATATGGGCGATTTTTCACCAAATGTGGTAACATGGCCATCCTTGATATTTTATGGTAACCCTAAAACTGCTTTGCGGGGAAGCTGTCTCACCGTGCCTGCACATTTCGTAACAATATCAATATTAGAAATTTTATTCGAAAACTAACGGCGTCTTTCTTTACTCCTTAACATTCGCCAACCTTCAGATGCACGTTCCTACAGAGCTTTCTCCCAGCAGATGCCGAGCTGTTAAGGCCATTGAATGCTGGGAGTTCGACCCCAGACGAAAGGGTTGGCTGCATTGTTGATTTTCGTGGTTTTTCGCATGTGATATGTGAATGCGAGCCAGTTTCCCTTAGAAAATCATCAACGAAGGCATCTATCTTCCCAAGCAGATAGAACTCGTACTTCGCTATATTTGAGTAAAGCTAACGTAATCTGCAGAACCTTTCAAAAATATAAAATAATACTAGGTAGACTTTCGCAGGGAACTTGTTGATAAAATTTCAGTTCATTGTATATTAAGTTTTCTGGCTTAAAATGTATGTTAATCGCATTGTTAAACAAATACAAAATACTTTGGTTTACTTCGCAAAGTATATTATTTTTTAAATATTGCATTAAAAAAAACCAGTGTATTAATCAAGTGCAAACAAATGTTAGATTAAGTCATAAATTATTTGTGCATATTTATAGGCAAATATTAATGCGTCTTGTCTATCTCATCTGATACCTTCCGTTTTAAATAATTGTGCTAATCTAACAAGTATTCAGTCCCTGATTTGAAAACAACAAAATATTAACGCTTTGAAAAAAAGGCAAAAATTGCGCATTGCTTAAAAATTGCATAATTTGCACTTTTAGAACAGCAAATAGCAAAATGAACAATAAAAAATATACAGAGAGTGTTTACACATTTTTGTAATGATATTTATTTTCTCAACAAATTTAAATATTAATTTTTAAACTACAAATGTGACTGGCATCAGTTTGGAATAAGGTTTAATTATCGTCTGCAGCACTAAAATTATTCTTTTCTTTAAAATGTCCATGAAAAATAAACAATGGACCGAAGGCTATATTTTTTCGCTGTCCGAAGAGAACACTTATTCAATTATTAAAAAACGATGAGAAAAGTATGGTTTTAATATTTCTACATGTAAAATAAGTGACATAATTAATATGAAAGGAAAGAAACGTCAAAATTTACATCTGGTTGTGAAAAAGGCAAAAAATGCGTACCGAACAAAGGTACGTACAGCTCTTACTAAATCTGAAGTCGCATTTCATGTTCTGAAGGAATATTCAGCCCCCAAAAGAGTTATTGCAAAATCTTTGAATATCTCTGTAGAAACTAATTATGAATTCTGATTTACAGCCTATCAAAACAAAACAAAATGTGATTTTCGTCGTCTAACGCGTTTCTCAGAGTAAGACTATGTGCAGATTGCAGCATGAAAATTACTTGGCAGGTGAAAATGGAAATATGTAATGGCAATTGATTAGGTTTGGATATACTTATTTGATTGCAATTGAAAAAGATCGATGTACTACCGAAAAAGACGATAAAAAAGTCTTAATATGTTGGTTCAGAAAAAATAATTAAAGTTTTTCTAAAGGTTTTTATGGTTATTACTGGATTCTCATATAACTGAAAACTTAAAATAAGGAAAGTAGAAAAATATGTCAAAATTAATTCGAATTATTATCGGAAATGTGTTTTAACACCTATTTTTAAAGTAGAAATTCCGTCTATTTATCCAAACAATCTTCATTATGTTAAGTTCCATTAGGATAATGCTTCAAGCCATACCTCAAAATCTACTGCTCTATTTTTTTTTCAAAAAATGGGATATGGAATCCGAATTTAAGATATTTAATTTCCGGTTAATGAAATAAAGATATTTCCTTTAAATGTATCCCGCCGACGTCTCCTGTGAATTACCGTGCATTTGGGCTTTTAAAACAACCCTCTTTATAAGCGGCTTTCCAAAACATTGGATGGACTCTGGAAGATTGTGAAGGAGGAATGGAAAAAAAATCAACGCTGCTCTTTTAAGAAAAGAACTTTTACCTTCGAAATCAAAATATAATATTGTTACGAAATGTATAGGCGCGGTGGGATAGCTTTCCCGCAAAGCAGTTTTATGGTTGCCATAAAATAGCAAGGAAGACAGGGTTGCCACATTTGGCGAAAATTCGCCCATTTGGCGATATTTGACGACAAAATTGGCGATATACCATGGACGGTCGGAGAACCTTCTGGAACGAATTCTTACCGGTTTATCCCAGAATGTTCTCGAACACAAGCCGAAAGCTATATAAACCCTGCTAGCCCGCACTCAATAGTGGTGCCTCGTCTAAGTGCGAGGATAGTGTGTTCATCGTTAGTCCGTGCGGAGACGATCGAGTTGACAGCCGGCCAGCGAGTGCCCGAGTGTTGTCGTTCGAGTGCACCGAAGGAGTCTCATAGTGTATCGCGGTTAGTGCATCGTTGAGAGAGCGTGTTGAGCTCCGGGAACGACTGAACCGAAGAGTCGGGAACTGTGCTCTGTGTGTCGTCGAGTTCATCGCCAATTGTAGCGTGGAGAGTCTCGAGAGTACGTGGAGTTCTGAGAACGACCGAGCAGAGTCGGGAGCTGTACTCTGGTGCTTTGCAGTGAAGCTGTCTCCAACGTTATTGCCTGACAGTGTGAAGGCTGTGTAGCTGAGTATTCGAGCGTGTTTATTGTAGATCTTCGACGACTGTAAAAGTGACTTTGGAGCTGTCCTGATTAATATTGGCTAAATAAAGTGTGGTTCGATACTTCATCAAGTGTCGTCGTTATTCACTCCAAATCTACAAACCCCGTACGAACGTGAAGGAAGAAAATAACGTAACAGCTGGTGTCAGAAGAAAAAAAAAAAAAACGTAACAATATGATAGTTCACCAAAAGGGCTATCAGCCCGAACATATTAGAAAATAAAATTTTAAGGTTGATTTATATAAAAATCGTTACAAAAGTGTGTGAACACCCTCTGTAAGCACAGAAAGATATGAATTAAGATCTTAATAACAGAGTACTTCTTAAAATGTAACTTTAAAGCGATTTTGTAAAAGTTAATGTTTCATAACTAGTAGATGTTTGTTCCTTAGAAAATTTTAATGCTCTTTTTGAGGAAATATAAAACTGTGCATTTCGCAGCAGCGATTTTGAGAGGGTACGCGTTGGATCCACCCCCGACCGAGCGCCAAAGTCACTGAACACTGGTAGTTCAGTCCAGGCTTCGAATCCCTTCGAACTTGCTGGCTGTATGGGCATTTTCATGATTAATGTAAAATGCATGTAACTCGTGTACGAGCCAGTTTCCCTTATAAAGTGCATCCCTCCTCTTAGGCAGATAGCCCTCTAATGCTTTGGCATAGTTAAATAAACCAAGTGAAAAAGGTGCGCGTGAGAAAGCCTTACATTTTCATTTGCAGAAAAAAGCAAAAAGTATACGTATACAAAATGTTTGGATAAAATGTCTCCTGAACTCGGGAGTGCTTCTTATTGGTGGATTCTTAATCAGTCAAATAGACTTTTGTATTACAGGTAAGGCATTATAGAAGGGGCGTAGAGCACACATTGAAATTCAGTAAAAAGTATCCGATATTGACTTTTTTGAAAAAAAAAAATTAAGAAAGCGTTTGAAAAATTTGCTCTCTATAAGTTAGCTGTGTAATTTTAAAAAATGATGCGTTTCTATCTTATATTACAAAGTGTCTCAAATATATATACTCAATATTTAAATGATAATAATGTCATGTTTGGTACCAAATGGTTTATTTCCAACATTTAAAACGATTAGCAGAAACGACTTTTATGAAAAGGGAGAGGAACCAATGCCTATTTCTAAATGCTGTATCATTGCTCCAAAGTTTCTGGCTTAACAACTATGCATGTGCAATATCACTTGCAAAACTACTCTTCGATCCGGATTATCTTCACTGATACCATGAATTATTCTTGAAATATAGCTTTACCAATGACAGCCCTTCAAGACGCGATGGACATATGATTCTGATATTCTTATTTTATCCTATCTCTCCAGAGGCTCTTTGATGAAGTGGCAAGGAACTCACTACCGTAGTTAAGAACGGGTCTGATGTAATTTCTACAGACTGTGTTTAAGGTTACTTGAGTAGATCACCAAGTACTATCACTGAGTCGTTTTACTAATTTTATTTTATCAATTTCCCAACGGGCCATCTCCCCTGAATTGATGCTTCCAATTCAGTTTATTGTCAAATGAACTCCGAGACAGCAAACGTCACTCACCCTTGTTGCATTTCTTTCTTTATACAGTGGAACCTCGTGATACGAGTTTAACTTGTTC